TTCAGAGATCGGCACAGACAAAGCATGCTACCGGGATATGTCCTCCTTCCCGGAGACCAAAGCGGAGAAGTACGCCAACCGCAGCAAGGGCAAGAAGTTCCTGCAGTACAACCGGCGCCAGCTCAGCCGCATCTACCCCAAAGGGCAGCGCCTGGACTCCTCCAACTACGACCCACTGCCTATGTGGATCTGCGGCAGCCAGCTGGTGGCCCTCAACTTCCAGACGCCTGGTAAATCCCATGCCCAGGGTGGCTTTGTCACTGATCCCGTGGCTGGACGTGGTTTAGATGAGCTGTCCAACCATTGTCCCCATCTCGATGGGGATATTCTCATGCAACGTTGGGGTTGTTTCGTGCACTTCTACCCAGGGTTGGGAGATTTAGTAGGGGGTTCGTGAGGGCAGAACCTTCTGCTCAGGGCAACTGGAGGGTCCCTGAACTCTGCTTTTCCCCTGGCCATAGACAAGCCGATGCAGCTGAACCAGGCACTCTTCATGCTCGGTGGTCGCAGTGGCTATGTCCTACAACCTGACATCATGAGGGATGAGACGTTTGACCCCTTCGACAAGAACAGCCTGAAGATTGTGGAGCCCATCACAGTGCAGCTGCAGGCAAGTGGGCAAGGTTGGCAAGTCCATTCCAAGGTGGCCAGTGTCAAGATGATGGTTCAGTTCTTCCAAACCAAGTTTGTGGTCAATTTCTACATGTTTAAGACCCATATTTGCTCCATGAAGTTCATTGCTCCATGACCTGCTAAGTCTGTTGCTTTCATGCATAATCTTTCCAGATTGTGGAAGAACTCCAAAACGTTGAGGGGAAAATCCCACAGTTGCATAAAGTTGACCCAAAGTTTGGGTCATTTTGGTGTTACAGCTGGGATGAGTCAGTGTGTAGGCAACCAGCTCTTCAGTATGCCATGGACACAGCAAAAGTTTTTCAAATCATTCTGCAGAAACAGCTAAAATGAGTCCGAGGTCACAAATAAGGTCTGATGTGGCTAATTATGGTCATAAAGATTTTGGCAGACTCAAACCAACCAAGCCATAGGTCTGTGCAAGGAAGTCCTTTGTTGACCACAGGGCCAGCACGGCTGGACCTCACTCTCCTCTTTCTCCTCTATCTTCCATAGATTCTTGGTGCTCGGCACCTTCCCAAGAACGGGAGAAGCATTGTGTGCCCCTTTGTGGAGGTAGAGGTGTGTGGCTCCGAGTATGACAACAGCAAGAACAAGACTGATGTTGTAGGTAAGGGTCCTCCCACCTAGTTCCTATGCCAAGAGGACAGGTGGTGTCACTGAGACACCTTCTGGGGTTCTACTGGAAATCTACTGGAAATAGAATTGTAGAATAAGGTTGAAAATAAAAATACCACTAAGATCATCTAGTCCAACCCACGTCTGTGACTGCTCGAATGTGGGTGATGGGGACTGGTTTCAAGGAGGAGTAGAGGGGAAAGGCATCCCCCATTAACAGGGGAGCAGTGGTGCTGTGTTGGTGCTGTCTATGTGTCTAATCCTGCTCTGACCTCACCCCACAGCTGACAATGGTTTCAACCCTGTGTGGCTCTTCAAGCAGTTTGTCTTCGACATCAATAACCCTGAGTTCGCCTTCCTCCGCTTTGTGGTGTACGAGGAGGACATGTTCAGTGACCCCAATTTCTTGGCCCAAGCCACCTTCCCCATTAAGGGTCTCAAAACAGGTATGCTTCCTCCATCCACACCCTCATCATTATCATAGAATCATAGACTCATAAAGGTTGGAAAAGATCTCCAAGATCACCAAGTCCAACCATCAACCCATCCTTACTGTGCCCACTCTTAGAATCATGAGTTCACTACCACCAACATAGAACATCCACTAAAACGTGCCCCTAACTACCACATGTACATGTTTCTTTAACACCATCATCATCATCAGCCATTTGGGGACTCAACTATGACCAAGGTGAGGGACTGGGACTCTGCTGTGGGGCTGAGCTCATGTCCCAGTGTTGTGTCCAGGCTACCGGTCGGTGCCACTGAAGAACAGCTACACAGAGGACCTGGAGCTGGCTGCACTCCTCATCCACATTGAGATCATCAATGCCAAGGTAAGCGTCATGGACAAGTTGGAAACACCCATTCCTCATTTCCCCAGTGGATCAATCCCCATCCACTCCATGAGCCTCATCCCTTTGTGTTGGAGCAGGAGGAAGACGAGGAGAACCTCTACTCATCCATCCAGCAGCTGCGGGACCGTGCCAGCGAGCTCTCCAGCCAGGTCTCCAGCTATGAGCGCACCAACAACTGCGACTCACGCTACCAGCAGCGCCTCGATGAACTGCGAGCAGCCCAAGAGCGGCTGATGGAGCTCACTGAGGTCCGCAACCGCAAGTGAGTTCCCCCTGCTCACCCCATAACCCAGATTTGGGTGGTGCCCTTGGAGTTGTGGGTCCACTGGGGTGGTGGGTCAATTGGGATGGTGGGTCCGTTGTGGAGGTGAGACTAGTGGGGTGGTGGGTCTATTGGGATGGTGGGTCCATTGGGGTGGTGGAGTCATTGGGGTGGTGGAGTCATTGGGGTGGTGGGTCCATTGGGGTGGTGGGTCCGTTGTGGAGGTGAGACTAGTGGGGTGGTGGGTCTATTGGGATGGTGGGTCCATTGGGGTGGTGGGTCCATTGTGGAGGTGAGTCTACTGGGGTGGTGGATCTATTGGGGTGGTGGGTCCATTGGGGTGGTGGAGTCATTGGGGTGGTGGAGTCATTGGGGTGGTGGGTCCATTGGGGTGGTGGAGTCATTGGGGTGGTGGAGTCATTGGGGTGGTGGAGTCATTGAGGTGGTGGGTCCATTGGGGTGGTGGAGTCATTGGGGTGGTGGAGTCATTGAGGTGGTGGAGTCATTGGGGTGGTGGGTCCATTGGGGTGGTGGAGTCATTGGGGTGGTGGAGTCATTGGGGTGGTGGAGTCATTGAGGTGGTGGGTCCATTGGGGTGGTGGAGTCATTGGGGTGGTGGAGTCATTGAGGTGGTGGAGTCATTGGGGTGGTGGGTCCATTGGGGTGGTGGAGTCATTGGGGTGGTGGAGTCATTGGGGTGGTGGAGTCATTGAGGTGGTGGGTCCATTGGGGTGGTGGAGTCATTGGGGTGGTGGAGTCATTGAGGTGGTGGAGTCATTGGGGTGGTGGGTCCATTGGGGTGGTGGAGTCATTGGGGTGGTGGAGTCATTGGGGTGGTGGGTCCATTGGGGTGGTGGAGTCATTGGGGTGGTGGGACTCTAAAGGCACTTCCCTGCTCCATCCCAGGTTGATGGAGAAGAAGAAGAGGGACCGTCAGATGGTCACCAAGCGCAGCTGATCTGGGCAAGCTCAAAGCAGATCCCCCTGTTGTCCCCCACTATCTCCTCTCCCGCTGTAAAGGGACAGCAGGAGGTGGGGTGTCCAAATACAGACCCCACTCCCAATATCAGCCTTCAACACTGTCAAAGCCACCAGGTGCTGTAGGATGCCAACACCGCTGTGTCCCCAAGGGTGGGTGATAGTGACGTGTGAGAAATCTGGGGAAAAAAGGGGTTTTGCGTAGGTCTGCCTGTGATGTTTCTCTGTTGGAGGATGCCTTTGGGTCATCCCATGTCCCCCATGTCACCCCATGGGATGGCTGCTTGTGTGGTTCCTCTTCATCCCACATCTCCTTAGTGGGGTGATGACAAAATCATCAACCGATGGGGAAACTGAGGCACAGCCCAACAACTGATGGGGAAACTGAGGCACAGAAGAGCTCTCCCAGTCTCTGATTGGCCCAGGACAAGGCACCTCCCTGCTGGGAACAGATGGCACCGGGATGAGGACATGGGGGATGTTTGGGGGCAGCAGGGGGTGTTTCACCCCCACTATAAATATCTGTATTTTCTTCTTTTATCCAGCGTGTACATATAGTGTGGGGAGGGCTCTGTCCCAGCACAGTATTAGGGCACAAGGTGACCCCAAAATGTCCAGAGATGTCCCCAAAACAGGAGAGCAAGGAGACGCCCAATATGGGCATTGTGTGGATGGGGGTGTCCCAAAGCTCACCCAGGGAGATGAAGACAGATCCCCAGAGTTAGGTCCCGGTGTTTAGGGCATTTCCTAAACAAACAAAATTCCAATGGAGTATTTCATTGGAACATAAAAGAGAACCAATGCAGAGAATGGGGATGTCCCCAACATGTTCCCTTTGGTCCCACTACCAGCGTGGGGCCCGGTCCTGCGGGGGGAACCCGTGAAACCCACAGAGGTGGTGCCTGCTGTCCCCCCTCCCCTGGTGAGAACAGAGACTGGGGACATCTCAAGGTGTCTCCCAGGTCGGGATGCCCCCATGGGGGAGGGGGGGGTGGGGGGTTGGGGGAATCTGTGTATTCTTTGTATGAAAATAAATCTATTTAGCCAATATTTATATCCTGCCACCATTGTCTCCTGTACCAGTGCTGGGTCACAACTGATGTCTGTTCCAACCCATTCTAGGACATAATAGGAATGGGAGGGTTGGTTGGACTAGATGATCTTGCAGGTCGTTTCCAACCTTGTGATTCTGTGATTCTGTAATAGGACGCGGGGCAGGGGGCTGTGGGGACATAAGAAACATGGCTGTGGGGACACAGGGCCACGGCAACACGAGATAGGGGATGCAGGGCACAGGGCTATGTGACTAGGGGACAGCAGGCCATGGAGACAGAGCCGCAGGAACACAGAACACAGAGCCACAGCACTACGGGACACTGAGCTCTGACGATTATGGAGACCAGGGACTATGGGGGACACAGAGCCACGGGGACGAGGCTGTAGGAACACGGGGCTGTGGGGGGACAAAAGGCCGCGTGCGACAGGAGAGAACGCAGCTCCCACAGCAGCGCACACAACGCGCAACACAGGCGGCATCAAGAGTACACAGAAAGAGGCGGGACTAACAGCGCCCCTTCCACCTCATTGGACTCCTCGGTCCCCACTGCCGCTTTCTATTGGCTGGAGGTCCGGAGAGGAGAGGGTGGGGAGGGAGACGACCGGAAGTGCTGCTCTGCCCACTTCCTTCTCCGCTCGGTGGTACCGATGCGGAAGAGAACGGCGGCAGCGGTGAGAACGGGGAGAAAGAGGGGACGCCGGGCCTGGGGGGGAGGCGTTCAGAGGGGACTCCGCCGCAGTGGGGCCTCTCCGGCACTCCCAAATACCTCCCAGTGCTATTTATCCCATTCCTCTTCCTCTCACTTGGAACCCCCGCCCCTCTCTCTCAGTTATCTCCTCATCCCCATTGCCCCCCTCCCACTGTTCCCCATTGTCTCTGTTCCCCATTGTCTCCCCCATCCACATTGGCCCCAACACCCAATTATCTCCCTTTATTGCCATCTTCCCACATTGCTCCCCCATATCCATCGTTACCACAGGACCCTCACCCCCTCCCCCCCCACGAGCCTCGCATTGCCTGAGGATGGCCCTCACCGTGTCCCCATCCCCTCCTTCCATCACAGCACTTAATATCCAACTGCTATGGGGCAGACCCCAAGTGGGACCCCCCCCTGCCTCACCTCTAGGATGGCTTTTCCCCGTGGAGGTTCTGGGGTTGCTTGCTGAGACCCCACACCCTCTCATTTCCTACTGCTTCCTATGCTGGTGGGGCATGGAGTGAAATGCAGACCTGCAGAACTGAGTTTCAGACCAAATGACCTGAATGCACCTTTATTTCTGGTTACCCTGGGAGTGTACTGCAAATATGGTGTGCTTTAAAGAGGTTAGGGAAGTGCTTTCATCCAGTTTACCTGACCTGACAGCACTGAGTACAAAGTGAAGTTTGTTGTCCTCGCAGAAAAAAAAAAAAAAAAAAAAAGGAGAAAATCTGAGATAAAAGAAGACGTAGCAGGGAATTTTGGTACACAAAACAACACGAAGTTGGAACAACATGAAGTCAGGAGTTGGATCATTGTGGGTCACTCGGGGTATTCTGTGATTCTGTGTGAATAATGTATATCTTCTACACACAGGGATGTATGTAGAGATAAAAAAAAGTACACTGGTATCGTCTTCCTGATGCCACCAGTTCCTGGAAAGAAGCACATTTCTTCTATTCTGTTTATTGGTAAGCTGCAGGTTGGGTTGACCTGTCCACTTGCAGGATGTAGACATCTCAGTGTTCACTTCTTTTTTGTGTCGTAACAAAAAAATCTGTGTCCTGTCTCTGAATGGTACCAATGAGGGAAGGGAGGTGGGTAAACTGTGTGAAAAGCACCGAGTTTGAATTTTTAAAAACGTGCAGAGTTGTACTTTTATATTTCAGATACTCATTTTTTTTACAAGTACGCATGTTTTTAAAGTGGAGATCTTAGTGCTTTAACATTGTAATGAGGTAGTTGCAGCGTGTGTTGAATATTTATCTGCTTTATCACTGAAGAACTCTATTTACAGCCTAGAACACTCCTTTGGAGAATTTTACAAACAATTTAGCCTTCACCCTGCTCGTGCAAATAAGCTGCAAAAGAAAGCAGGAGGCAAAGCTTAATGAGACAGAACCGGTTGTGCAGTGTTGTACAGAACAGGATGTGCAAGGTGCTGCTCTTGCTGGGAGTGTATCACAGAGGAACAGAGCCAGACTTTCCATTTTGGTTAGGCTGCAAGAAATCTAACGTGGGACAAAAGCAGAAGGCAGGCTTTGGGATCTCTGTTTGTGGATAGTCAAAACCCAACTAGATGGGGCTTGCATACAAAGCTGTGGTCAGGACCTCCGAAAACCTCTGAAATGTTCTGAGATAACTTGTGTTAGTCACCCCTCTCTCATTTCTCACCACCCAGGGGAACGACGATGAGCCTCCTGCCTTCAGTAGGGGACGAGAACTGCTATTACATCCTGACAGAAGACTGTGCCTATGGCAGCAAGTACTTCCAAGCTGGGAACATGTGCTACTGCACCGAGAGGAGCTACCTGCGCAACTTTGCCGACGTGCCCCCAACTCGTTTCTTGAGAGTCATCATGCTGGATGACAGCTCCACTGTCACCGTCAACGTGGAAATCCTGCAGCCTGTGCGTGAGGAAATGGCCGCCTTCCTCCTGAGCATCAGCAGCCACAATGAGCGCTTGAACTGCTTCCTGGAGAGGCTGAACCTTGAGGCTGCTCTGCAAGCCGTGCCGGGCCAGAGAGTGATGGTGGAGGTCGACCGGCAACATTTCCCCGGCGTCATCCGCTACATTGGGAGCATTCAGAAAAGTACTTTGAATGCGTTGACCCCATTCTTCTTTGGAGTGGAGTTGCAGGTAACTGGATAATTGCAGTGTGCCCAGGTGGCCAAGAAGGCCAATGGCATCCTGGCTTGCATCAGAAACAGTGTTGCAAGCAGGAGCAGAGAGGTGATTGTTCCCCTATATTCAGCACTCGTGAGGCCGCACCTTGAGTACTGTGTCCAGTTTTGGGCCCCTCACTGCGAGAAAGATGTTGAGGCCCTGGAACGTGTTCAAAGGAGGGCAACAAAGCTGGTGAGGGGTCTGGAACACAGGGCTGATGAGGAGAGGCTGAAAGAGCTGGGAATGTTCAGCCTGGAGAAGAGGAGCTCAGGGGAGACCTCATTGCTCTCTATAACTTCCTGAAGGGAGGTTGTAGTGAGTTGGGGGTCGGCCTCTTCTCTCGTGTCATTAGTGATACGAGGAGGGGAATGGTTTCAAGCTACGGCAGGGGAGATTCAGGCTGGACATGAGGAAGTATTACTGTTCAGAAAGGGTGGTCAGGCACTGGAATGGACTGCCAAGGGAGGTGGTGGAGTCACCGACCCTGGGGGTGTTCAAGGAAAGGCTGGATGTTGTGTTGAGGGACATGGTTTAGTAGGAGCTATTGGGAACAGGTGAACGGTTGGACTGGGTGATCTTTTAGGTCTTTTCCAACCTTGGTGATTCTACAATTCTATGATTCATAGAATTGTAGAATGGCCTGAGTTGAAAAGGACCACAATGACTGTGTGGTCTGGTTCATGCCCTGCCCAGCTCCTCCTGGCTCCAAGCACAATGTCTGCACCAGGAGCCTTGAAGGATGGCATTGAACATGGGGGCACTCTGGATGCCAGTTGGCTGTTACCAGGTACAATGTACGGGAGCAGGCAATTGGCTCAGGGGAGCCCGTGCTTGTAGTAGAGCATCTTTGCTCTTGGAGTGGGTCCAGAGGAGGGCCACTAAGATGATCAGAGGGCAGGAACACCTATCCTATGAGGAAAGGTAGGGGGTACTGGGATTGTTTAGCTTGGAGAAGGGAAAGCTATGGGGAGACCACATTGTGGCCTTCCAGTAATTTGAAGGGAGCATATAAACAGGAGGGGGAATGGCTGTTTATGAGGGTGGGTGGTGATAGGACAAGGGGAATGGTTTCAAACTGAGACAGGGGAGGTTTATGTTAGATATTAGGAGGAAGTTTTTCACACAGAGGGTGGTGAAGCAATGGAATAGGTTGCACAAGCAGGTTGTGGATGCCCCATCCCTGGAGGCATTCAAGGCCAGGCTGGATTTGGCTCTGGGCAGCCTGATCTAGTGGTTGGTTGGAAAAGTCCTCTAAGATCATGAAGTTTGACCATCAGTCCATCCCCACCATGCCCACTGAGAATCACTGACCATAAGGTCAAGCCCAACAACCATCAGGCCATCACCAGCACTCATAGAATCATTAAGTTTGGAAAAGACCACTAAGATCATCAAGTCCAACTGCTGACCCATTCCCCGCCATGCCTGCTAGCCATATTCCTCCGTGCTACATTTCTTGAACACCTGACAGCAAAGCAAGTTGCTTGTTTTCCCCTTATGCTTGTCAATGTGACATCACTTTCTGCCCTGTTTTCAGGATGAGGGTGAAAACAGAGGGCGCAGCGATGGATCCTATCTTGGCATTGAGTATTTCAAGTGTAAGCCCAATTGCGGGATCTTCCTGCCCTTCAGCAGAATCCAGTTCATTTCCACGCTGGATAATGACCACGGGAAGCAGAAGCCAAAGGTGGATGCAGAGGAAGTGGTTCCTGTGAAAGTGGGAGATGCCGTGAGCTTCTACGTGGACGATGTCCGCAGAAAAGGAATAGCAATGGCAGTTTACAGGGAGGGAACCCAATGGTTCGTTAAAGTTTGCCCGGTAAGAGCAGCCTCGCTCTCTTTTCCTGTTGGTTTCTTTTTCATTTGATTGTTTATAATACTAAGGCTTTAAAGAGGAGTGAAAGCATCATCCAAAAGAGATATAAGGTTGCATGCAGACTCTTTGGGCCTGTTTGGAAAAATTGGTTCATATTCCAGGAATGCCTTGTGTCTGATTGACCATTTAGCTGATGTATTCTTCTTTCCTTTCAGGAAGAAGAAGGTACAACTGACATTTTCAGAGAGATTCCTATGGACTCTGTTGTGAAGGAAGACTTACATTCCCAAAGTAGGTTATTAACAGATGTGTCTGTCCTGAGCACGTTCTTGTGGATTTAACATTTATTTCTTCAGGTCTAACAAAAGCTTCAGCCTAACTGAGAGATTAAATCAAAGAGCTGAAAAGGTCCGTGGAAATGTCTCGAGTTCTGAACAGCATGCTTTGCATTAGGCAAAGAGAGCTGCGTTCTCCCATTTATCAGGAAGAAACATCTGATCACAGCACAGAAATGCTTCCTAGGATGGAGAGCACCACTGACTGAAGAGTCTTTAATTTAGCTGTAGAAGGTGGAGCACAGCCTCATCCTGATGTCAGATTAACTCAAGAGGGCCCAGATGCCAATGGCAATGGTGTGAGTCATTGGGCAAGGCAACAAACTGGTGAGCTCTCTGTTGCCATATAGAGATACTGTTCAGATATCCCATGGCCAGACTGGGACAGCTGTCATTAGACTCTTTGTTGAGTTGATTCATCTCACTAAAGGCATAAAAATAACCTGAAGCCAACCTGCTGTATATATGATCTATAATTTCAGAACAGACCTGGCAAAAGGAAGACGACGGTGACATGTAGAGGTGTCTGTCATTAGGTGACTTTCTGTCTCTCCTACCCATTAGGTTTATTTCCACCGTTTGAGTCTGACATGGGAGTGGAACACTCAAAACAAGTGAAACAACAGATAGGTGAGAGCGGAGATGAGTGTGAAGGCGTGAACCCGTCCCTGGAGGTGAACTCCATGGTCCAGATCACCTTGGACAAAGGGAACCAAGTGTCAGGAATCATCCGCTGGCTGGGGTACTTGCCCCACACCAAGCACAAAATGGCAGGAGTTGAACTGGTAAGAACAGAATAATTGTGAATCCTGCAAGCAGAGTCAACACAGGTTTAAAACATAACCAGAGTAAATAAAAACATCAGAACAGCACCAGATTTGCACATAGCTCTTAAGATATTAAATAGCCATGTGATGGATTGCACTTGATTCATAGGAAACCTGCTCCCGTGTCATTCCTCAATGCTTTTTATCCTTAGGATGAAGATAAAGGAGTCACTGCTGGCGAATGGCTGGGTAAATACTATTTCCACTGTGCTCCCAAGCGTGGCATCTTTGTGAAGCTGCAGTCCTGCCAGCCCGACGTTCGCTTCCAGTGCTCACGCAACTGCGACCTGAGCCTCATAGAATATAGTAAGCTCTTTGGGTTGAGGGGAGACCCCTCGTGTGCAGTGTCTTTAATTGGTGGTTTCATTGATTGTCTTTGAGCGTTCCAAGAGATGTCCATTTTCAGGATAGTGAGGTGGTCTTTGTAGGGAATATCCTGCAAATGTGAGAGATGGTAAGTAATTGAACACAAGGAGAACGTAGACTAGAGTTGTGTGGGTGTTGAATCTAAGGCAAGGCGTTGCTAGTGGCACTGAAAATGAGGCCTTTGTGGCATGGGTGCATTGGAGAAGCCAGCAGAAAATGTGAAGAGGCAACAGCAAAGCCTAGAGCAACAGTTCTTGCATGGCATTGTGACTGCTGCAAGCAGGCTGGGATTTTTCTGCCTGTGGCTTTCAAGGCAGAAGAAAAGGTCTTGTATTACATTTGATGGTCCTATGGGTCCCTTCCAACTTGGGATATTCTTTGATTACTGAGAACTGAATGTGACAAGTAAATACACTACCATATCTTATGGATGTTATGGCTCTGGAGAGTTGCAGTTGGTAACTGTGGCCACGATGTCAGGTAATCAAGGTGTTGTACCTGGAGAAAGGAAGAGTAATTAATGTAAAGCTTGATGTGGTAAGGCATTCACAGGACAGCAAAGGGAAGAATAGGTAATTATTTTCATTTTAATAGAAAGAACTATCTCCAAGAGAAGAGAAGACAATAAGTTATCCATTTAGAAAACATAAATGAGTTCACTGTAAAAGAAAAAAGGAAGTTCTCATGGAAACTGCCCAAAAATTGGAAGTAGGGACAATGAAGTGTCTTAAGGGCCTGCTGAAAAAGTGGGATTGGATTACAAGGGAAGAATGCTGGAGAAACCAAGAAAGACCATGTTGAGAAAGCTACTTTGGAAGATGAAGTTAGTAAGAGGATGTAGGGCTGAGGACATAAATCCTTCTTATTCATGGCAAGGGCAGACAGATGAATCCAGGCTGTAATGCATCTGAGCTTCTACATGCTCCCTGAGGCTGGGCGTTCATGGCTTGCACTGAATGTCTTTCATAGGTTCATAGAGTCATTCAGACTGAAGACCACACAGATCATCAGGTCATTAGGAATGGAGAAGACCACTAAGACCATCAAGTCCAACTATGGACCCATCATCACCATGCCCACTAAACCACATCCCTCAGTGACATGGGGAAATTCCACAGGGAGATCCCAAGCTTGCCTGGAACCCAACACCAGCTTCTCTGTGGCTCTTTTTGTCTTTGTTATACTTGGCATAGTGATGGTGGAGGCAGCAGAATCATTGAATCATAGAGTACCCCTTTTTGGAAGGGTCCTGTAAGGGTAACTGAGGATTGCTAGGGCGTAGCAATAGCAATTCCTCTGGTGAGGAAGGTTGGGTTTTGTCTCCGTTTCCAGTAGGTGAATTAGTAAAGGGAGAAACCTCCATACCAGCATGGTTCAGTCCCAGCAGGAGCAGAGCAGAGCTCTGAGGCACTGGGGAAGGACCTCACCTAGATGAGGTGGGAAGCGAAAGGGAACTGCTTCTGTTGCTTCTCTTGCAGGAAAGCAGGAAGATGTTCCCCACATTCCACTCAGTTTTCCTCCTCTAAGGAATGAAGAAGCGGTGCACATCCTACGAGGAAGGATGAAGGGGATCCAGGGCCACTGCAATTCCTGCTACATGGATGCAGCACTCTTTAGGTGAGTGCCTGCTTGTGCAGTGCCATACTGTTAAATGATTACTTCTTAACTGGGCAGTGCCCTGCAGTGCAGGCTTCCAAGGTGGCTGGAAATTGACCTGGCGCAGAGCAGAATGTAACTGTGTGGAGGTGCAACCTCAGTGTTTGCAGCCTTTTGGTCTCCTTCCTGTAATCCATGAGGTTCTCAGACACTCAGGTGCCCCTATGAGTACCACTCTGTGTGTCTGTCGTGCAGGGTGATGAGATATCATAGTTCTCTGGACTGGACCACGCTGACTGCCACTGGAGACAGTGGCTGGAAACATTGCAAAGAAAGCACCCAGGAGATCCCAGCTTCACTCTGCAGCACTGTTTGGAGAGGAAAAGACTCAGTGGTGCCCCCATGAGCAGTTTTGGCTGCGAAGTACGAGATTTCATTCTCTCTTAATTGTTTCCTTGCTTACTCCAAGCATCCCTTAAGCCAGATGTGGTTTATCTCACTGTGGAGATGCACTGTCACTCACACTTCTGTCATTGCGTGCATGGATTGTTGAAAATGAAAGCCACTGATTGCCACTAAGCACAACAGTTTGCTTCCAACCGCTTGGCTCAGACTCAGACAGTGCTCTCTCTTCACAGCCTCTTCTCCTGTACATCCGTGCTGGACTCCATGCTCTTCACACCCTTCCCATTGTGTGATAGGAATGTCCAGAACATTCTGCGGGATGAGATCGTGAACCCTCTCCGAAAGTGAGTGCAGTATGTGAGGATGCTGGAAGTTGTCCATCTGTTTGATAACTTCTGCTCTCCAATTCCAGAAGGTGCCTGGGAAGGGGTTACCTGTAGGGTGTCTCCTGCCATCCAGGTCTTCCTCTCTTGCTCCTCTTCCAGTTGTTTTCTTCCCCTGACTGTAAGGCATGCGTGAGGTTTCCTTGCTCAAAATCACAGAATCATTGATCACTGAGGTTGGAAGATACCTTTAAGATCATCCAGACCAACTGCCAACCCATCACCACCTTGACCACTCATCGAATCACTAATACTTTTTTCCAACTATTCAGGTCATCAAGTCCAACCATCAACTCATCACCCATTAAACCATGTCCTTAATCAACCATTTTCTTTAAGGCTGGATATGGGTAGACCATAGCATGGCAGCTAAATTGTCTGGATTTTGTATTAAAGATACTAGTTTTTTTCTCATCCTCCCTTGCTAGGTGTGAGAGAGGCATGGAGAGCTGCTCCTGCCTAAGAATAAGACATTAGCATCCTCCTTGGGGTCAGTGCCCTGGAACTGCCTGCAGAAATACAACCCTAGTGTAGTGTGTGGTGCTGTGGTTTGTATCATAGAATCATCTGAATCAGAAAGGTTGAAGAAGACCTCTAAGACCATCATGTCAAACCATCAGCCCATCCCCAGTATGCCCACTAAACCATGTCCCCAAGTGCCACATCTCCACAGTTCTCAAACACCTCCAAGGACAGTAACTCCACCACCTCCTTGGGCAGCCTGTTGCAATACTTCACCAAATACACTGCAGGGATCATCTGTAGCTGTTTCTTGTTTCCAGGAATGGCTTTGTAATGGCTAGGAGTGTGATGCACCTGAGGGAGCAGCTAACTGAGAAGGGCCAATGCTCAAGCTTTACCAATGCAGAGAAAGGTAATGTGCTCTCTGGAGACTTCTCCAGGCTGCTCCTGTGTGTGCTGACAGCTTAATTGTGTGCTTCTCCCATGCACGTACATTGATTTGCCTGCTGTGCTGCTCGTTTATGTAAAACTGTGCATGCAAGAGTTCTTAAAAGCTGAAAATATCAATGTGCTTTTTAACTGACATTTGTCCTGAAGTCTGATGGAGGGAGAGGAGTTGCTGGATCTCTGCCACCGTCGAGCTGCTGCCAGGAGGGGAGAGGATGAACTGTGTGAAGAAGCATTCCCTTGACCTTTAGTCTTTGAATTAGCCCTGAAATATCTGTCCCTATGAACCTGCCAGAGTCCATTTTGCCACGGTCAACTTCTCTTTGAGTTCTGATAAGTCATTTGGGGTTCCCCAAAGGCTGTTGTTTGGTTAAAGTAAGGCAGAAAATGCTTGTAATTTAAGTCAACCTCTCTGATTGCAGTCATCACATTTCTCTCCTTGTGCAACGAGGGTATTTTACAACAGATTGCCCAGTGTCAGGCATTTGGCTCACATCTATTTTGCAATATGGCAAGTTCCTCCTGTGGTGTGACTTCTGCTTCTCTCTGTCCTTCCAGATCCGGAGGAGTTCCTGAACCTCATAATGCATCAGGTCCTGGGAATAGAGCCACTCTTGAGACTGCAGTAAGTTCCCATTCCCACACAATTTTTTTCATTTCCAATACTCCAATGGATGCAGTGTAGTGGACTTGGTGTAGTGGGCAGTAGTGGTGGTAGGTGGATGGTTGAACTAGGTGATCTAAGTGGTCTTTTCTAACCTTAATGATTCTACAATTCTAGCTGAGCTCAATTTATTTGTCTCACTAGTTATTTACATCTGATCATTTGTTGTCTATTTGTCCCAAGTGACCCATCCAAAACAACTTCTAAGCTCTGCCTGGAGGCTTTTCCTTTGGAAAAATGATGAAGAAAGTCATGTCATCCTTAGGGAGAGCTTTGAGAAACACAGAGTTCATCCTCGGTGCTTTTGGATGCTTTGGGATGTGTCCAGGCTCTCAATCTGGCTCAGATCCTACAGTTCTCAAACAGGGACTCTGTGGATGCAGTCCCAGTTTTTTCAGGACTCTACAAAGAGGATGAGAGGCTGAAGGAAGCCAAAAATAACGATGCTGTTTGGGAGCATAGAAGGGAATTGTTGGGTTTCTGTGCTCTTTTGTGGAGACGTCAGTCAACCCCGAGGCTGTGGAGTGCTCAGAGAGGTGGAGCACAAAGGAGACTCTGTGTTGCTGCCCCCCTGCAGAGGGTCATCTGGAGGAAATCCGTTCTAAATAGATCTAAAAAAGGAGTTTTCTGATTGTGGTTCATTAAAAAAAAAAAAAAATTAAAAAAATTGAAATATCTTTAATATGGAAGAGGGGAAACTGAGTTATGCTCATTGGGAGCAGGACGTCGTGCTATGTTGGATAATGAGATTCACAATGGCACGAGGTAAGCATTTCCCGTGACCACTCCTTGCAGGTCAGGAGCCCAGAAGGAACAGGACTGCTACTGCTACCAAATATTTATGGACAAACAGGAGGACCTAGTGGTTCCTGATGTGCAGCAGTTGGTGGAACACTCCTTCCTGTCTTCAGATCTGAAGCTAGTGGAGGTGAGCCCAGCTTCATTCCATCTACGTTGTAGTCTTCCAGCAAACCTACAGTGAGTCTGGTGCATCTTACAAAGCAAAGCAGGAGAATACTTGGCCTCAACCTAAAAGATATTTTGGGAAATCTGAGTGTGACCTGAGATGGGATGTGATTCACAGTAGCAATACGGAGAGAAAAGTCTCTGGAATTTGCTGGATTGTTTGCCTTTGTTTTCCCAGATCCCATCTTGCTTCATTATTCAAATGCCACGATTTGGGAAGGAATATAAAATGTTCAGCAAGATCATCCCTTCCTTAGAGCTGGATATCACCGATCTGCTGCTGGACAGTAAGTTATTGGGTGATGGTGAAACTTAACAGCTGAGACTGGGAACAACCAGGTGTCAAAGGGATAACACTCTGAGTTGTGGGCGGGAGCTAAGGTGGGATCATGGTGGGATTCCTCTGCCCTGAATGCTTAGTTTTGACAGGACAAATGGGATTCCAGGTAAGACAAAGAGAAGGCATCACCACTTCTGCCTCTGCAGGTCCCAGAGAGTGCTGTGTGTGCAGTGACGTTGCCACCTGGGAGTGTTCAAAGTGTTTCAAAGACAAAATATTCTCACCTACGGGTCTGAAGCAGTTCTGCAGCACCTGCTCCAAACAGGTATTAAGTTCCTTTGGGTGCTCATGAGATCTGCCAGCAGAATGAACACCCAAACCTGCACAGACCAACTGCTGGACCCTCTAAACTTCTTGCTGTCAGCCTGCAATGCACTGCTGTTCCTTGAGGAGGACCCAACTGCATGCGAAGCAGTTGAGTGCAGAATAAACTGAAGGTCTGACTTCTGCACGCTCCTCTTTTCAGCAGGCCAGCTTCAGTTCTGCCCTCTCAGCAGTGCCACCCCATTGCCTTTCCTTAGGTTCACTCCCACTACCGACGCAAAACACACAAACCAACCAGGCTGCACGTCCCAGAAGAATTTCGTCGCCGCAGCTCCCGGGGCAGCCAGGAGGTTCCTCGTGAGAAGATGGAGCTCTTTGCAGTGCTATGCATTGAGACCAGCCATTACGTCTCCTTTGTGAAATATGGCCCTGAGAACGAGCACTGGATGTTCTTTGACAGCATGGCTGACAGGCACGGTGAGGTCATGGTTAAATGGGTGTATGGTGGTGGGTTGGGGGTTGGACTTGATGATCTTGGAGGTCTTTTCCAACCTTAATAATTCTTTGAATGGGCATGATGGGAATGGGTCAGGGTTGGACTTGATGATTTTGGAGGTCTTTTCTAACTATGAATCACAAGTGACAGGCTTGGTGCTTCGATAGGAGCCAGGAGTTCGTATGGTGGGTGTCTGTAGCACACATCATGTGGGCACTGCTCAGTCTGCGTCAAGTTGGATGGTTTTGGAAGATTCTGTACTATGCTTGAAGGGAGTACGAAGCTTTTGGGATGAATGACTGTTGTTGGGGGAGTTAACAGCTTCATTTCTTCTAAAGTCACCTGCATGCCTTAGGATTCTTATTCTATGGATCCAAGTTGAAGGAGGGAAGATTGAGGTTGGATGTTAGGGGGAAGTTCTTCACAAGGAGAGTAGTTAGGCCCTGGAACGGGCTGCCCAGGGAGGTTGTGGATGCCCCGTCCTTGGACGTGTTCAAGGCCAGGTTGGACGGGGTCCTGGGCAACCTGATCTGAATGTGTGTTTGGTGGCCCTGCTGGGCAGGGGGGTTGGAACTACATGATCCTTGAGGTCCCTTCCAACCTGGGTGATTCTGTGATTCTGTGGTTCTGTGATTCTACTTCTAGCAGAACCAATTCCAGAGCAGTGTAGGCCCAGCCCACGGAGATATGAATTGCTCCTAGTGGTCTTGTCCTCTGGCTCTGTTCAGACCAGGGACTTCTTAAGTGGGCTGTGAGGACAATAGGACAGATCTGTCCTGCCCAATGGCGGTGCTGACCTCCAGATCTTTCAGCTAAGTCACTGTAGGTACTCATGCCTTGGGACATGCTTTGGACTTGAACTTTTCTCCTTCCTTCTGGATTAGGTGGTGAGAATGGCTTCAACATCCCCACTGTAACACTGTGCCCTGAAGTTGCCAAATACCTGGACTTGCCACTGGCCATGCTGGCCCTGGAGCAGCCCCGAGACATGGACGGAGTGGCCAAACGCCTCTTCTGTGATGCCTACATGTACATGTACCAGAGCAAGAAGATGGCACTGTACAAGTGATGCTGCCTTGTGTTGGTACTTCAGAGCAGTAATGCGAGCTTGGACTCGTCAGTACTGAAAGCATCTAAATCTAGTGCACTGAACGCACACCTCTGCCTCTTTTTACCTCTTGCAGTGTCCGTATTGAGCTGTATGAGCCTCTCTGGTTTTGTAAATCCAGTGCCAGGTTTCATGCAGCAATAGTTTGTACTGCCTGCAGAGCAGTACAAACAAAGCAGAGAGAATTCTTTACATTCAAATTCATTATTTCCAACTTTCCCTTAACCCGCCTTCCTCCCTATATGGTACTCTGCAACTCTGCTCTACCTCAGAGTCCTGTCCAACATCCTTTCCTTCTTCCAACACTGAGGACCAGCATCTCTTAATGGAAACGTGAACCCTTCATGTTTGCAAAGGGCACTGGAAGATCACAGCTCTGCCCCATGTAGCACTTCCCCATATGGACTTGAAGAGTGAGAAAAGCACTGTGTAGTTGAGATGTCTCAGGAAAATAGTTTTTCTTGGGGTCTGGGATCTGATCCCACACTTAAAGCCGAGCCTCTGATTTGTCTTCACTTCCCTTATCCAGAACTAATACCTCTGGCACTTTCACCCACCATCAAACTGAGGTTCATTAGCTATCTTGAGCTGCAAATACACTTTAAAAAAATGTTATTTTTGTAGGAACAAATTTGGGAAAATTACAGGGCAGAGGAACAGAAGGTGGGCATGAGACTCCAGTGTGTTGTCACCCTGTGAAATCTACAGGATGCGAGGTGTTGCAACTTCTCTTCTAGCACTTGCTGTCCCATCCGCTTCTGAAATCTGCACCAGAGAACAGGAACAGTATTTCAGGGGAAAAATGGAAGAATTAGCACTTTTTTTTTTTTTTTTTTTTGGCAATGACAGCAGGAAGGGTTTATGTGTGGGAACAGGTATTCTTTAAGTCAAATAATGTACATTTGCAAACTGTGGGTTGTCTGCCATTAAGCACATGCTGTCATGGCAGCAGGAAGGTGTTTTGGGATTCTGTGCTGTGAGTCATTTTACCCAGGTTCTGGATGGCACAAAAGCCCTAGAGGAATACATCCAAGAGCCACAGCCACAACCTGCTTCCTGCCCTATTTTCCTTTTAACACAGGGTGCAGTAATTTCGTCCCATCACCCCTTTGCCTTGGGCCACACAGCAGTTTAGTGGGGATCGGGTTCTTTTTTTTGCTTAAAGAAGGGTTGTGATGCTCAGTGGATCTCATCTTGACAGCTTGTATCAGCTTTCATCCCTCACATCTGTATATGGTCGCTTCAAAGGATGGATGGAGGCTTCAAGGCATGGATGGAGTGTAATGAGCCCATTAATAATACACACTGTGTTGAGATCACTGCTGTCTAATTTGGCTCCCAGATGTTGCACTGAGGTCTCGGTCAGTTGCTCAGAGTTTTCAATAGTCAGATTTGCTGCTCCAGTCTTTTGGGTCTGGAGTTTGCCTTTGCTGAGCAATTGAACCTCAGGAAGTCAACCATGAGCCAGTTCTGGGCCCTGTGGTTTAAGAAGAGACAGGGACAGACTGGAAAGAGTCCAATGGAAGGCCATGAAGATGCTGTAGGACTTGGAGGAACTCAGGAGCTTGCTGTGCCCATCAGGAAGCACTGCTGTGGCAGAATGTTGGTATCAGTCGTTGAGAATTGTGGAGTTTCCTTCAAGTTCTTCAATAATCCCATGGCTACAATCCTCAGGAATTTGCTCCTGGTGTCCCTGTTTGAGCAGAGGTTGGACCAGAGGACATCAAGAGGTGCCTTCCAATCTCAACAACCATTGGGTGAGCTAACATTTGTATAGGGAGCCTTAATGCACTCATCATGAATGCCTGATACCAAAGCAGTGTGAGGACTCTCACGGATGGAAGAGGTGGTGATAGATTATCAGCAGGCCATTCCAAGGAACTTGAGATCTGATGGTTGATTCCGTGGGCTCTCCTTTGTGGCCGTGGAGAGGTGGTGATGGGATGGAGCATGCTGCTGTCTCACTGTCTTGCCTGTTTAATGTCACTCTTTGTTGTAGAGTTGTTGCAAGAACTCAAGGCAGTCTCTTCTCAGACAAAGTTTAATAGCAAGAAGTGTTTTCTTCTCTCTGAAAGTGATGAGATACAGTGCCTTACAACCCTACCAGCAGCACCATCCTCTTGGCTGTTTTTTTAAGTGGGACACGATCAGACTTGATTGTATTTTGCTTTTGTTTTTTTTTTTTTTTTTTTTTTTTTTTGCCATGAACAAGCATTGCAAAGATCTAAAAATAGAGACAGAAAAAACACACACAAAAAAATCCACCACCATAAATACAATATTTCTTATCCAGACTTTTGCTGGGAATGGGTGCAGCAATGGTGGGGCTCAGTTTTTGGCTGTACAATTCCAAAGCTCGGCAAAAAGGATTTAAAAATACCTCTGTATTACAAACCTGAACAGGATTAGAGAAGAACACACACAGCTCAGAAAGGCACGTGATTTATTCTTTGACATTTTTATCCGTTCCACGCAATGTTTCTGGATGGTATTTGATTAAAAACTTCCACTTGTTGCTGCTGGCCCATTGGTACTCCCAGTGACATTCCAAAGGCTTTGGTGCTAGAATTAGGTGTAGGATGCCACAAAATGGGGACGTGGGCTGCTGCTGAATGTTGATGATGTGTGACATCGGTCCTGTCATCACTGAAGGCACAGGGCTGGCAGGGCCAACGAGGTCAGCAAGGAAGAAAACTCGTTGCCCCCACAGCAACGCAGTAGACACCTCCCAGCTCTGTCTGCCCCATTCTTTCGTCCACAGCTTTGCAGTGAGGCAGCTCTTGCAGTTCCTGCACAGTTCTCGGAGCAGCACTGCAGAGCAGCAGAACCACTAGAACCATCCCAATTAATCACCTGGTCTTCCAAAGAGCAGAAGTGCTGGTCTCAGTGCTGGGGGGGTGATTTGGGGTACCCCTCACTGGCTAGCGTGCTGCAGCTCTGCAAAGAGGAGGTGCAGCTTCTCTGTCATTGCCACCTGGGGAAGGAGCAAAAGGGGACAGTGAGTGTGGCTCCATGGGGTCGCTGTAGGTCTGTGGGGGCAGGAGGATTGGGATGAGACCAGGATCGTGCCTGGTAAGGGGGAAAACATACCAGGTAGGGCTGGGGGTCATGGAGCTGGCGGTGCACAGGGCTGAGCAGGTTGAGGGATGCTTGTGCATGGCTCCGTACCTCTTGCAAGCTGGGCAGCTCCTCATACACCTGTGGGATGGAGGCATCATAGCATCCGTACACAGTGCCAACGCCTCAAGATTGGACAGCACAGGGTGCAGGACAATGAGATGGTGGCTGTGGTGGCACCACCTCAGCTTTTCTAACATCACAGGGATTCTGCTTGAGGACACTGCCCTGCCTAGGCCTTCACTCAACGAGGGAAGGACACCTCATTAGCAGTGAGAAACACTGCCAGGCTGTCCCTATATAAGACATTTGCTCAGTGGAGCAGCAGAATGAAGGACAGTTTCTTGCATGTAGAGTATCTTGAGCTTTGTGCTGCAAAACTCCCATGGGACAGACCAAGAAAATCCACCTTCATAAGACAAAATTTCATCCCTCTGCTGGCAAACAGGATTTGCCATGGAGATATCCCATCTCCAGGGGCACTGTGCCTTGCCAGCATTGCTGAAGGACTCCTCTCACAGACCCACCACCACCACCCTGAGCACCTTTTGACCCAAGCCCATCATGGGGAGAGAGGAGAGCTGCCTCTGACCTGTCCATCTCTCAAGTACATGCGATGGAGGGGCTCCACAGCACTCGGCCTGACCTTGGTGGCCTCTCCCCTCCTCCCTAGGATGTGGACCACCAACTCCTGCCCCACACTAGGTGAGGGCTCATTCTCCAGGGCCATGAGGTCCATGAAGGGATGACCTGTAGGGATGAAGAGTCAGGTTGCCAGCGGGTGACACCAGAGACAGGATTACGGAGCAGGAAGAAGAGCAGGTCAGCAAGGTAGGAGTTTCCTAACTCAGTGGAGCTCACCAGCAGCATCGTAGAGCCGATATATTGCCTTAATCCCTGGGATAGTCATCTTCTCTTCCTCCTCTGTGAACTTCAGGCACGGGGAGCCATTAACCTCCACCAGCTGTGGAAAAGGAAGTGATGGGGATGTACACATTATTTTTTCACATAAACACCATCCCCAGAGGTTTGCAAGAAAAGGGTAGATGTGGCATTTAGGGACATGGTTAGTGGACAAGGTGGTGATGGTTCAACAGCTGAACTTGATCTTAGAGGTCTTTCCCAAACTTCTATGACTCTATTCCAGCTCACACTGGTGCCGGAGACTGTGCAGAGCTGTGGTCTGATGCAAAATAACTGAGTAAATCATTAAAAAAAAACCCACAAGCTCAAATCATCCCCAAGCCAAGTGGGGCAGAGCTGCTGCTCCTACCTTGTAAACACAGCCCAGCGATGGCTGTAGGGGACACGTCACCAGGTTTGTCCCCACGCCAACCATGTCAATCTCACTCCCCTGGTGTAACAGAGAAGACAACGAGCATCAACAGCTGCTTTTTTTTTCCAAGCTCATGCTAAAACCAGAGCCAGGGAGCAGGTCAGGGGCTGCTCGGCCCCAAAGTGCCTCCTGGTCTCCATATGTCCATCCTGCCCACACATTCCAGGTGGAAACTTTTTTCTGTTCCCACCCGTGAAAGGCTGAGTCACAGGAAAGTGACCGTCACATTTGTCCCTCCAATGCTGCAGCCCCAACCTCACCTCTCGGATAAAGTCCTCCAGGCTCTGTTCGCTGATGTCGTTGCTCACGGCTATGGGGATGCTCCCAAACCAAGGCACCTGGAAGCTGGAAAGGAAGAAAAAAAAGCAGAAGAATGAGCAGGAAGGCAGTCCCAGGTTTGGGGGCTCTGAGAGCCAGCGAGCACCCAACAGGGCAGCGAGGGCTCCCACTCTTAACAACCACAGAGGCAGGACACGCAAAGATGTGGGTACCCGGGGAGGAGAAGCAGGGGATGCTCTCTGGATGTCTGCACGACTCACTGAGCACCGCAGGCTCGGAGCACCCTCCGGGTGTCCTTGGACTGCTGGATGAGGTCCCCGCTATCCAGGCGCACCCCGATGGCGCGGTACCCTAACTGGTGTAGGGCCAGTGCTACAGCGCAGAAATTGGGCAGACCGCTCCTGACAGGGGCAGGGAGAAGAATGAGCGTTCGTGTCCTGCACCAGGTGACAGTGAAAGATGGGGACACAGCAAAAAAGGCAACCTCATGACGCAGTAAGTGTCCAGCAGCCCCTGGAAATCCTGTGGAAAGGCGATGGCGTAGGACACGAAGGCGGCCAGCTCACCGCGGTTGGGTTTGTCACTGGGGGTCCCCAGCAGCTCACACACACGCTGCAGCCATGACTCAGCCAGGGATGGGAGATCCATGGGCTCCCCACCTTCCAGCGGTGACAGGACCTGCTCGGAGATATCAGTGATGACACTGAACCAATCACTTCAGTGATTGACTTCAGTGGGTGAAATGAGTTCTAATGCAGGTCTCGTGCACCCCGTACCATGTGCACCCCTTTTCCCTTCCAGCAGCTATGGGGATGGCTAAGCCATATCTGGGATGTCCCATCCCCACGGTCATATCGGGGGTGTCCCATCCCTGTCCCATCTGCAAGCACTCACTCTGGGCTGCACCTCCTCCAGCGACCTGAAGGACATGATGAAGGAATGGGCGACGGTGCCACGCACTGGGATGCCATAGAGCTTGCCTGCCAGGACGTTGCTGGTGTAGTCAAAGCCTGGAAGGAGGGATGAGGGGTGACAACATGACAACAACACAGCATGGATATGTGGGGCAGCACTCACCTCCAATATAGGAATACTTGGAGGCAGAAAGTCCACCATCCGGACCCTGGGCACGACGTAGACCCAACTCCATCAGCTTCATCTCTGGGCCAGCAAGAAGGCGGAATCGAGCGGCATTGGTGGCCACCAGGCTGGAAGGGCCAAATCACACCAAGTCATGTTGGTGACAAATGGGACTATCATTTGCTTGGGGACCACCACAACTCAGTCACAGCCAAGATACAGGGCCAAAAGTTGGTACAGCATTGGGAATGATGAAGGGGACCGTGGTTTGTTTGGTGAACAACTCCACTTGGTCACAGGGACAACAGCTGGTCCAGCAGAGATGGACACATCGCCCTGTAGAACCCCAAAAAGGTTGTAGGGTCCTCTACCTGGCGTAGCTGACCAAGCACAGCAAGGTGGTCTCCAGCAGTTGCACCACCAGCAGCGGTCCCTTCACCTGTAGGAGCGGGACCTGCGGGGACAGCACGGTGACATCCCCACAACCACACACACCAGAGATGGGGACATGGGGACGCTCGGCCACGTGTCGCACCCTGGAGAAGACAATGGAGCCTTCAGGCACGGATGTGACGGTCACCTCAGAGGCATCCACGGTGCTGAGGTAATCAAAGAAAGCATCCTCCGTCGTGCTGGGCAGCACCGAGCGCAAGTAGGCGATGTCTGCAGGGATGTCAGCTCGTGTCGCTGTCCCTTGTAAGGCATCATCCCTCCAAGGGACTTCCCTCAGGTCCCCAAGCTCCTCTGGGGGAACCCCACGTGCCACCAAGGGGTCTCCTGGTCCCTCTGAGGGATGTCCCTTTCTCCAACAGATCCCTCTAAGGGACATTTCCATGTCCCCTACCTCCCTTTGAGGACTCAGTTCTCCTTCAGAGAAGTCCTTGTGTCCCACAGATCTTCCTGAGGAATGTCCGTGTCCCTCTAAGAGATGCCCCCATGACCCATCTGAGGACTCACATCCCTCTGATGGCACATCTCTGTCTCCCACCCCAGGCTCCCATCCATTAGGACTTCTGAGGGACATCCTGATGCCCCATAGCTCCTCCAGAGGGATGTCCCCACATTGTCTAGTTCTCTTTGAGCACTCAGATCCCTCTGAGTCCCCTGTCTCTCCAAGAGCCATCCTCCTGTCCCCATGATCCCTCTGAGGACTCCAGACCTTCTGAGGGATGTCCCTGTGCTCCCTCCAAATTCCTCTGAGGAATTCCCTGTCCCTCTAAGGGACATACCAGCGACACCACCCCAGACCCCTCTCTCTCAAGCCCCTCTGAAACACACCCCTGTCCCCCCCCATGTTCCTTTGAGAGATGTCCCCGTGTCCCCTGGGTCCTACTGAAGTCTAAAGGGATGTCCCCATGTCACCTAGATCCCTTGGGGGACTCTGGTGTCCCTCCAAGGAATGTCCCTGTCCCTCGAGTCCCCCCCCAAAGGGCTGCCCACAGGTCTCTCTGTTGAGTCCCCCGTCCCATCTGAGGACTCAGATCCATCTGAGAGATGTCCCTGCTCCCTTTGAGGAACCCCCCCCTCCGTCCTTCTCAGGGCCGTCCCTATGCCCCCAGATCCCTCCAAAGCACACCCGAGGGATCTCCCCGTGTCCTAAGGACGAGGCTCCAGGGATATCCCCACGTCCCATCCGAGGACTCGCGACGTCCCCTTCCCCAATCCAAGTCCCCCTAAGGGATGTCCCCGCGTCCCTCCCCCCCTCCCCTCCCCCCACAACGACCCACCCGCAGCCGAGAAGCGAAGAGCCCCGAGGCTGCGCAGAGCCTGGCCCAGCCCCGCTCCCACAGCGAAGGCGGCACCGAAAGGTTCCCGACGGAAGAAGAGCTCGGCTGCCGCGGGGTCCCGGTGCCTCCCCGTCCGCCACAACGCGTACGCCATCGTCAGGTGGTACAGATCGGCCAGAGGAGCCATCGGCGGAGCGGGGCGGGGAAGAAGAGCGGGGCAGCATGGGAGCGAGGCGGGGATGCGGGGACGTGGGGACACCTGGTGGGAGGACGGGGAATGCGGTGGCGTGGGGACTTGAGTCGGGGATAAAGGCTCGGAGGGGGGATGCTTGGGGGATAAGGGAGCAATTGGTGGCGTAGGGGGGACGTGGTGCATTGTGGGAGAGGGGCATTTGGGGATGGGGGCACTCAGTGGTTTGGGGGGAGGACATAGGGGACATTTGGTGTGGCTTGGGAGGGGACATGGAGGCCACTTGGTAGCTTCAGTGGTGGACAGGAGACACTTGGGGCTGGGGAAACAGGGATACAGGGCACTCAGTGGGGGCATGGAGGGGTACAGGGGACATTTTGTTGCTTGCAGGGACAGGCGGTGACAGACAGGGGATGCAGTTGGTGGGTTGGAAAGGGATATTGGGGTATTTGGCTTCGGGAGGTACAGAGAGGAGGTGGTGGCCTGGGGGGGGGACAGGAACATGGGGAAATAGGAACGGGAGCACCTGGGGGCTTAGGGGACATAGTGGTGGGCACAGGGTGGCTTTACATGACAGAGAAACGTGGGAGATTGGGCATTTGGTGGCTTGAGGAAAGGGAAACATTACTTCTGTTTTTAAGGGAGAAAGACTCGGGGAACTACAAGCTGGTGAGCCTCACTTCTGAGCCTGGAAAGATCATGGAGCAGATACTGCTAGAAGCTACGCTAAAGCAAATACAAGATCAAGGGGGGGGATCTGAGACAGCCAGCATCGCTTCACCAAAGGCAGACCTTTGCCTGACCAACCTGGTGGCTTTCTATGATGGAGTGAGAGATGTGGATGTCATTACAGTACAGAAAGGACATGGAGCTCATGAAGCAGGTCCAGAGGAGGTCCACTAAGATGATCAGAGGGTTGGGAGCACCTCTCCTATGAGGAAAGGTTGAGGGGACTGGGACTGTTTAGCTTGGAGAAGAGAAGGCTCCATGTGGACCTCATTGTGGCCTTCTGCTACTGAAGGACGTAACACAAGGCAGTGGGGATACAGGGCATAGCAGCAGACACGGCACATGGGCACAGAGGGCACAGAAGGATGTAGGAGACAGTGGATGGCAACACATGGATGACCAGGGACAGCAGGATGTAAGAGATAATGGCACAGGGCAGGCACAGAGCACTGCAGTGCCAGTTTTCCTAGCTGAGTGGAGTTGTCACTGCTGCAGCTCCATCTGTACTCACAGTGCAGCCACGCAGTGCTTCCCACTTGCTGGGTGTTGGCAGCTGGACCTTGGACTCTGGCACTGTGACACCCCATGAAGTGTCCTCTCCTTGCCATAGGCCAGACTAAGCACAGGCCTGGTTCCTCACAAACCAAAGGACCTGCAGAAGTGACCTGCTAAGGGTATCACAGGCAGCAACCTGGAAACACAGGTATCCTCTTGTCGAGGTCTTCCCTTTTATCAAGAGAACAAAACGGGAAATACCCTGACATCTCACAACGTATCACTCTGGGGAAGTCACACTTAACAGAGAAAACCATCATCCAATCTGCACTCCTTGATCTTTTTATTAGTTACAGTATCACAGAGGATAGGTTTGCTTCTAGATCTTGTTGAAAGCAGCAATGTCAACACTTTGCACCTGCAACACAACAAAAGCAGCAACGAGAAGTCACTGAGGTGTTTTCAGAAAGGAAGGATTCACACTGGGGGAATTCTTCACAGCATGCACTAATTCTACTCAAAACAGACTGAGCATTGCACAGGACTGAGGCCAGCTCCCCAGCCACCCTCAAGGGACATAACAGGACACTGGTGTTAGCTATTGCATCAATCTTTGGGTAGCTCCTTCAGGTCAGCCTTTTCACCCTCCCATTTCCATGGCAGTAGAGACAGAATGGGGATGGAGGCACCTCCAGCATTAACCACCAGGGTTAAAACTCATGCAATGACACACCAGAGCTGCCCAGGTTGAGCATAAAAGCAGGAGTTGCTCCAAATGGGCTGGATGAGGAGCAGAAAGACTGCAAAATGGCTCAAGAAAAATACTTACATAGTCCTCAAACTTGGTGATCTCCTCCTCCAGGATGTCTGTCCCGACTTTATCATCCTCTACTACACACTGGATTTGGAGTTTCTTAATGCCATAACCTACTGGGACCAGCTTAGATGCTCCCCACACGAGCCCATCCATTTGGACAGACCGCACACACTCCTCCATCTTCGCCATGTCAGTCTCATCATCCCACTGCAAGGGCAAGAGAGAAGGTATTAAATGTTTTCCTTGAGCTCACATGAGAATGACAGAAAAAAAGTGACAGAACCATAGGAGTTGGAGGAGACTTCCTGAGATCACCACATGCAATCCCACTGCTAATGGATTTTTCCTGCACACCCTTCAGATATGAGGGGGAATTCTTCTTACATCAACACATCTGCTTTGGAACAACACAAAGGCTGCAATATCCCACCTGCAATCTCCCACCACACTCTGAACCCTTGTTTGGAAACATGCAGGTCAAACCTTCAAACTCAGATGCACAAATGAGATGATTTGCAGCTTCACTCAGGAGCTCTCCCACTTCATCTACTCACCGGCTTCACGTCCAGAAGGATGGAAGATTTGGCAATCAGACCTGGTTTCTTGGCCTTCTTTTCTGCATACTGACGCAGTCTCTCCTCCCGCACTTTGGCAGCCTCTTGATCTTCCTCTTCATCATCGCTGCCAAAAAGGTTGATGTCATCATCATCATCATCATCTTCCTCTGCAGCAGCTGGCTCAGCTTTCTTTGCAGGTGAAGCAGATGGCAGCTCTACTTTCTTGGAGGGAACACCGAATGGTTCCACTTTCTTCATGAGGGCGACGTGCAGTCAAGTAAGGAAAATGGGGAGAAGAGTTCACATTGCTACAGACAGTAAAGCACAGCCCACAAGGTGTGAAGAATTAGCCACCAGCCATGAACATAGGACACTGGACCAGGAAGACCTTCGAATTTGCCCATCATAGCCATATTACAATTCACAGAGTAAAAACAGTCCAGAGCTGATCCTTTTCCTAAGGGCTGAGAGGTTCAGAATATCCAGAACACGAGGAGGAGAGCAGCTGAGAACCTGGCCTTACAGAACAGCCTTGCTGGATGCTCCAATGCCATAATTTACCTAGAGACCATGCAGTGCCCTGAAGGCCCCTGGAGGTGAACAGCTTGTCATCTTCCACTCAGGTGGAAAACACACCCTTTTCCCAGGATGCTGCAGATCTACAGATTTACAAGCAAATTCCTACCAAAAGATTTACTGCAATTTATTTTCTCCCTCAACAAGAGAAGCAGTACAGCTCCTAATTTAAGGCACCAGCAACTGAACACCTTCCTCAAGCACGAGCTTCTTTGTTTGCCTTCAGGTATATTTCCTCCTGCATAAACTGGTTTGGGAAAGATAAGGCAGTTGCCAAAACTGATGGAAAAGCTGTACCAATCTCATCCTGACTATATCTCCATTCCCAGCACCCAGACAAACCTCAGAAGCAACCTGGCACTTTGTGACAATAAAGCAGCACTTTGCTGGGACTCACCTGGGTTGGTGGAACAGGTGAGGGTTGATGGGAGGTAGATTTTTCCAGAGCATTTAGGCGACTTTCCAGCTTGAAAATGGCCTTCTGGAGATCTGCAACAACTGCAAGAAGAGGGTGTTGTGGGGAAAAAACAGCTTGAGGACTGTGCATCAGCTCTAAAGTTAAGTCAAGCTACCCCGACCAGACTGCTTGTATGATAGAAAGTTCTACTTACCATTGTGAAGGTTTTGATTTTCTACCTCCAGGTGAGAGATTCTGGAAAGAAGTTCATTTTGGTCACCAGAACTCGTGCTTGCACTCTGCAATAAGGAAAATGGAAATGAAACAAATCTGTTCACCTACTCCCAAGCTCAGTAGTTCAGTGAAAACAAAGCAGAGTCAAACATTTCGGGAAAAAAAAATAATAAATTAAGAACTAAGCTAAAAACATGGACGTGAAAGCTTCAAAGAAAATAAGCTGGCTCTACATAATGAAGCATGAAACATCAACAGGTTTCATCTGGCAGCGATGAGCAAAGGATGAAGTCATTCCTTGCAGTCTCAGACCATCACTAAACAACACAGAACACGATGGAAGTTATCACACTAAGTCCCTTCTCTGGGGCAGCTGCCTCCTCTTACAGATGAGCTGAGGCACAGAGCACAGAAATGACCTGTTAACATCACACAGCAAAGTCCCTGTGAAAGGCTGCAAAGAGATCTCAGCATTTCTACGCTCCCACCTTCCCCAGTCCGGCCCTCAGTTCCTCTCAAAGCAACTTAAACTTTACTTGAGCACACCCTGAGGGAGCAATTACACCGACTCAGCTTCAAAAGCATTCGGTTTAAAAGCAAAAAGGGCTTATCTGTAACTTAAGATCATCTCAAAAAAAAAGAAAAAGAAAATACAGTCATTCATGCTTGAAGAGCCTTCTATAACTAAATACAACTGTGAAAGTTTATATTCTTCCAAGTGCACTCTGCATATAATAATGCTGTTTTCAGTCATGGCTGACAAGCAGTCACTTAAGATTTAAGAGAGAGGAAAACAAGGAAATGGAAAGCAGGTGTGGGAGATGCTGACCCCTGGGAGAGCAGGGCTCTTTTATGGGACATACAGAGCAGTGGGAGATGCTCTGACATTCCTGCTCAGAGACCTTTCCCCACCACCCCAAAGGGACAGAGACCAGAGGTCAAAACCACCACAAAATCCATCTTTGAAGGCAATAAAGGCTCAGGGATGGAATTGCAGATCTGCAGCTCCTAAATGCTGTGCCACTAAGACCCTGTTGGGTGAGCTACAACCGTATGCCAAAAGAGAAATGCTCCTCGTTGAAATGTCTGCACTGCAGCCTCTTCCTGCATCACACAACCAGCTCCATTCATGCTGAGAGGACTTACAGTTGAGCGGCCTGACTGCCTCTTTTGACGGGCAGGAGCTTCTTTACTACGTGGACCTGTCTTCTGCTGGAAAGGGCAAAAAGTTTGGGGGATGTTTGGTTCAACAAAGAAAACGGAAAAGCATTCCACTCATGCTGGAGGAGTGCAAGAAGCAGATCCACATGCTGGCAAAGTGGTCAGACGACGAGTCAG